CTTGATACACCATTTGCTAATAAGCATTGGATCATATATAATAAAATTATGATTAAAAGTAAAAATTCAACTATGTGTAGAGAAGATTTATTTCAGAAATTCGAGTTGTTTTAGAAGATTCTTTTTTGACTGATATTTTTAGCTGATAAAAATATTTAACAAAACAATAACTACAATCAATGCTTTGCAATTCAATGAAAAACATAGTGCCAATAGAATAGTTGACTGATTCTCACCAATTCTTTTCTTCTTTTTTTGAAAACAAAAAAGATAATTTTTCCTTTTGTCCTGCAAATACTCGTAGAAACTAATATGTCTTAGCTCACAAAACAAAGATAAATTTTATTTTTGTTAGGCATAAATTTTGTTTTTATTAATGCAATGTCAATGAGACCGACGAACAGCTGAATCTATTAGTATTAAATGAGTTCTGTTGACAAGATACTCATGAACTGTCGATATGAGACAAATTATCGAAAATCGATTATCGAAACAAACAAAAAAACAATATAAAAGTATTTTTAAGTTATTTTAGTTATGTCTACTTTTATCGATAATTAGTAGTGGTAGAGGGCAATAAGAAATGAACCGAGGAAACAAGATGGCCAAACCAACAAGATTAGTGATCGCATAATTGAAGTAAAAGGAGAGGAAAGAAGAAAAAAAATAGTTGTTGTTTTTGTGACTAGTAAGCGGAGACGAGAAAGATGTGCCCCACTTTTTGATTACTTTTTAAAAGGACTATCGTTTTATTACTTATTGAATCATATTACTATCGCGTAAATATTTAAAAAACCAACATAGAACAATGATAAAAGTGGTCTCTTCAACATTTGTTTGAATCCATATTCACTTCACATATATATATATATTAACTCGCTTTAGATAAGCAATACATAGAAGAAAATGGAAATGAGTACAACATTAACATCGGCCATATTAAATAATTCTTCGCCTTTAACTACTACTCAATCAACGACAGAGCCTTTAACAACGACTGTCGTTTATAATAATCATTTATTTTTACATACAACTGCTTGTCAAACTATTGCTGGAGCATTTACTTGGACAGCTATTATAATAACAGGTTATCATGTAAGAAATAAAAATAAAATACTTTTTTTTCTATTAAATAAGAAATTCTTTAGATTTATCTCCATTTACGTCATTATACTGTACCATCAGAACAAAAATGGATAATTCGTTTATTGTTCATTGTACCTATATATTCATTTGTTTCATGGCTTAGTTTAATTATGTTTAGAAATAATTCTTATTATGTTTATTTTCATGCAATTCGAGATTGTTATGAAGGTTTGTTTGTGTAATTAAGTAATAAAAAGCTTTTAATTTTATTTTAACAATATATTTAGCTTTTGTCATCTACAGCTTTCTTTCGCTTTGCTATGAGTATTTGGGTGGTGAAGGCGCAATTATGGCAGAAATTCGCGGAAAGCGTATTGAGTAAATGATCGAATTTTGAAGAATAAAGTTTGATAATTTTTTTTTTTCATAGACGAAGCTGGTGGACATGCACATGTTGTATTTCAAATCAAGAATATACAATTGGATTTTTAAGGTTTTGTAAACAAGTAAAAAAAAATTGGAAACTAAAAAATAATTTGATAATTTATTCGGGTTATTCTATAGGCAACACTTCAATTTTGTTTAGTGAAACCTTTGATGTCTCTTGTAACACTTATTTTACAAGCATTCGATAAATATAAAGATGGAGATTTTTCACCGACCGGTGGTTATCTTTATATAACATTGATTTATAATGTATCTGTATCGGTTGCACTTTATGGTTTATTTCTATTTTATGAAGCAACTAAACATATTTTGGCTAAATATGATCCTGTATTGAAATTTCTTACTGTTAAATCGGTGATTTTTTTGACATTTTGGCAAGGTTAATTTATTTTATTTTGTTTGAAGAGAATAACGAATATGAGTTCATTTGATTTTAGGTGTTCTTTTGGCTATTTTTGAACAATGTGGTATTATTCAAGCATTTCAAGGAAAAACAAATTTAAGTGTCGGTACTGTTGCTGCTGGTAAGTAAAATTTATTTCAAAAAACGTTTTTTTTTTTGTCTTTAAAATCAATTTTATATTTATTATAGGTTGGCAAAACTTTTTTATTTGTATTGAAATGTGTTTAGCTGCTGTGGCACTTTGTTTTGCTTTTCCACATCAACCTTATATAGTGCGTGAAAATTATTTTTCGGCATCATCATCAAATTCTGGACCAGGACCATCAAATACTGGTGGAAGAATACCAACAATGCAAAGTATTTCAAATAATCTTAGAGAAACAATGAATCCAAAAGATATTATGCATGGTAAATTAAATGATTTTGTTTATTAACGACTAGATGAAATGTTTATTTTAGATGCAATTCATAATTTTCATCCACAATATCGAGATTATACACAATATAGTGCACAGGTTAGATTTTTCTGTCTATTTATATTCCAAACCTATGTATTTATCTATCTATCAGGATATTCAGCTGAATACAGAATTACCTTCTGTGATTTTTCAGCTTTCTCGGGTATATTTAAGCTTTCTGGTGATAGAAATTAATACTATAGAACTAACATTTTTTTGCATATAATTTGTTTTTTTTTTATTTCACTTTGAATTATCTATCGTATAATTTACAGACTAATGATGATCGAGCACCAACATCAACATACGGTTTAAATCAAAGTTCAACTAGTACTCTATCACCATCAAATACTTCAGTACCTATTGATACATCTTACCACGAAGGTGGAACATCAATAACTTCAACAGCATTGCCTGTTCAATCGTCATCATTATCAAATTCTCAAGGCCAACATAATATTATTAATAATTTACAAAACAAATTAATACCAAAATCTTTAACAAAAAAAGATGCTGAAAAAGATATGTTATTAATTAATGATGACATCTAATCAAAATAAAAAGAATTATATTCCATCTCTTAAATATTCTAGTCGTATAAATTGATGATCTATTCTTTATTCCATTTTTTTTTAATGTTGTTTTTGTTTTCATTATTGTTGTATAATCAAAAATTATCTTTACATTCTCATACGCAACCAAAGCAAAACATATATTCCTACTTAATGGCAGATTTTGTTTCGATGTTGTTTATCCTTTTTTCTTTGTGTTGTGGCATTCAAAATTATTTTTTTTGTTGTTGTTGTTGTTGTGTACAAATGTATCAAAGAGTTCAACACATTAATTGTTTTATATTGTATCTATTATTAGAAAAAGAACAGTCTATATATTTAACTTTTTTTTTTTTTATTACAACAAGCACTTAACTTCAGTAGCGGATCCAGATGAAACTTATAGAAAGTGATATTCAATCCAAATGACGAGTTTTAATCAAAATTTTTTTTCGATCGAAATCGGGAAAAAGAAATTTTTCTTTTTGTCCCTTCTACCCTCAATTTTGTTGGATTATATAGTATTTCATTATTGAGAATATAGTCATATTCTATATTGAACTCTATCAACAGATTTAAGATTTCATTTGAAAATATACATGAGTTTAGAAGTTATAATATTTCAAGTTTTTGCGATGTTTGGCGAAAATTCAAAATATTTTAACTCCTGAATGGATCCTATATTTTTAGATGAAATTTTAACACTGATAATAAAATTTGATGTAGATACCAAGCATATTTAAAAAAAAAAACAAAATACTATTGAAGGCCAAAAATTAAGGGTGAAACAACTAAAAAATTTTCTTTTCGCAAACTCCAATCTAAAAAGTCTATGATTACAACTTATCATATAGGTTTAATATCACACTCTATAAGTTTCATGAGTCTCATACTCTGAATCTGAGATTCAGTATACTTAAAAATCTTGGTTCTGTCACTAATTGACTGGATTTGTCATTTCTAAGCTTGATTGAATAAACCCACATCTCAAGACAACTCATAAGATCAAAAAACAAAATGCTTGTACTCTGTTGACATTATTCTCTTGGGACAAAGATTTGAAAGCAAAAAGAACATCTTTCTAAACATAAACTATCAAACTCTTTAGAGTATTTCTCTACTTGAATCAAATACTGATATTATTTCAGATTTATTTTTGATGTCATGAACACAGAACAAACTGTTCTTTTTCTGTATCTATTTCGAACGACCTATCTGTGTGTCTATTCTTTTCGTTCTTTCGTCTTACATTTCTGCTTCATATATTTTTTCATATTTGAATATAATCATGTGAAGTAGAACGATATGACGAAAAAACGATAAATAGTATAGATCTTTCAAAAAGAAATAGAGACAATGAAAAAGCCGATAATCTTTGACTGCGAGCTACTTTTGATTAGCTTTAATGATCTATAAATAATCAAGAATCAGACAAACATATTGTTCTGAAATGTTTTCACATGAAAAAATAATTTTGAGTAATTTGATTATCGAGGCTGAAGAAAATTCGGTGTAATAAATTTTAAATTTTCTACATGAATAAAACTATTGATATTTTTGATAATAAATTATTCTTTTTAATAGAATTATTTAATTGAAAACTCTTGAAAAATAATGTGGAATTTATTCAATTTTTTACTGAGCCAATAAATAAAGAAACAATAACATTTCTCAGGCTTTCTTGTATTTATTTATCGTAAATTATATACTATTAATTTGCGGCATATTTTGAAAAAAAATTCTCCAAACTCGGTGTTTATTCATTTCATTTTAATATCTTATTTTTCGTATAGTGACTTAAATTATATCGTATTAAAATAAGAATAATATGATATTTTTGTCCTTATTGATTTCTTGGACGCTGATACTTACAAGCACCGCGCATATAAATTTAATACTCGATACGGAACGACCTCTTTCATATTTATAGAGACTGCATGTTTTTTTTAATGCAATGGCGATTTGTATGAGCTTATTACCATATTTTTCTGTATGTATGTTGTACTTTATTTGACAAAAGATAAAATAAAACAGAAGATTTAGTCTGTATTTCAGATGATAAAACTCATTGTAATTAGTATCTTGTTTATTTTTATCAATGGTGAACTTGAAACAACAAGTTTCTGTACAGATCGTAATGCAACTAGTAAATCTGTGATTGATTTTTGTAAATCTCAAAATGGTTCATTAGAATTTCGATGTTGTTATATATCGAATTCTAATAATATTTTGGCTATTGATTTAACAGAAATGAATTTAAACAAAGTACCTGATTTAAAGGAATTTACGAATTTAATAAATGTAACAATGATAGATCTTCGATTAAATCCTCAACTTAAATCTTCAGAAAAAGAAGATTTTCTTAGCATGAAATATCTTGATTATCTTTTCTTACCTGAACAATATCCATGTCCTGGTGAAAAGCATGTTTGGCAAGTAATTAATAAAACAATTGATCCAATAGGTATTCTTTGTATGCATCAAAAAGATTTTTGTACAAATTCAACTGATAAATGTGTTGAATCAAATTCATATTGTTCTTTAAATGGACCTAATCATTTTTTATGTTTATGTAAAAATGGTTATTATGGTTATAAATGTTTACGATATGGACAATTTCCAGTACGAATATTTTTTGGTATAGCTATAACTATTACTGTGGTTTTAAGTATTTTTTTCTATTGGACACAACGACGACATGTAAAGAAAGATTAGTGTTACGAAACTCTTCTACTGATAAACAATGAAATAGAACTGCATAGATCTGTCTTTCATATCGATAAGTAATTATTATTATGAATCTATAAAAGAATGGTATTTTTATATGGTGTGATAGGATTATTATTTTTTTTTTTTGTATTCTTGCTGTTATCATTTTTTTTCTCATGTTATTGATCTGAACAAATAAATCATATATATTACAATTACAATAGACTCATTGTATAAATTGATAATATTAAAAAAAATTTGAAGACCTGTGATGAGCTGACGTTTTAATTTAAAAAATAAGAAAATTACAAAGAAAACTTTGTCAAAATTATATAGATGAACAATTGCCAGCAGTTTGATGTTAAAGATGCTTATTATTTTGTTGTTCACTTTTAAGTTAAATAACACGATAAGGTTCTAAAGTATAGTTTTGTTTTTAGACTTATGCCATAAAAAATTAAACGGAAATAACCTTCAGAAAATATATATTTTAAATAAACACCATTTGTCAATAAATATTTACCTCGATATTGTTGACAAATAAACGATTATATAGACATTTTCTTTTGTTAACCATTCCAATAGACTTTCAGATAATCATTCGATAGAGCTTTTTCGCTCTTGTAAATTATTTTGTTTATTTTTATTTTAATAAATTTTCCTTAGTTGTGCAAAGTTTTTAAAATATGAACATTTACTCAAAAGTCTAATTGAAGTTTTCAATTCTCTGCAAATATCTATGCATTTGTGTAAGTTTTTGTTCATCAGAACCAATTCAAAAAGTAACGAAATTAACATCAGTAGATAGAAAATTCTTTGGTCCTCATTTCCATGACCTTTTCAAGAATCCTATTACCGTCGTTCGTAAGAGAAAAGTTTGTAACTAAAGCCCAATGATATTTTTCTATGCATGTCGGAGAAAAACATATTTACCAAAGCAAGACGTATTGCATGAAACAGCCATTCTCCAGCTGTCGGCTGTTGCACTTCATATTGAAGAAAATTGTATGACTGCTAAGCTGCGGAATGAAAACGATAAGGTTACATAGAATTAAACAAGATAAAAACGAACAATCACGTAATCTTGTGAGATGAGGATTTTCTTGACTGTTTACTTCATGATTATTCTTGCAAATATTTTTCAAAAAATGGAGAATTCTTTAGAGCATTATTGACTTTTTAGCAAACTGTTGTTAGAAAAGATTTTCATAATTTTTTCATTTTTTTTGGCTCCCGCAATTCCATGATTATGTAAATGTTAATATTTTAAATTTTGCTACAATAAGAAAAATTTGCTTAAAAAACAAACGAAATAGTCCTGTCAAGCAGAAAATCTTCTATCAAATTATTACAGAATAGCATTCTCAAGAAAATGGTTTGGCCTTGTCTAATCTACACTCCCCTGTTACTATGTTGATTAATAATAATATATGAATCACAAACTATAGGATTCTATTAAATAAACTAATTAAAGTGAAATTGAATGAACTTTCGACAACGATAAATTCAGACCAAAGAAGACTCTGATATAGTCATTATTATTGGGTGATTGATATATCTTCACTGCTTAGCTACATTGATATTATGATAAAAGGTTATTGTAAACACAAACAGACATGCGAAAAATTTTCTTCTTTCTGATATTGAATGTTTATCTACCATGTGCGATCATTTACATATAGATTATATAACTATGACGCAGTGATATTCTAGATATTCTTAAAGCCATATCTGAATCAACTTCTACTAATAAGAAAAGTGATAAAAGTATTTCTTCAATAATGAAAGCTGCTCAACAAAATGGTTATGGAGAAGTACGTCATGTTTTAACACTTCGTCATGATGTACTTGTACCACTTGAATTATCATCAAAACAAATTCTTGTTCAAGTACATGCTGCATCAATCAATCCAATTGATTGAAAAGTACTATATGGAAATTTTTCATTTCTTTCACAATTATCATTTCCTCATATACCCGGTAAAGATCTTGCAGACGTTGTTGTAGATATGGGTTCAGAAGTAAAACGTTTTCAAATTGGTGATCAAGTTTTTGGAAATCTTGGCATGAATGATGGTAGTTTTGCTGAATATGTTCGTGAAGATGAATCATTATTTGCCTTGAAACCAAATAATATAACAATGGAAGAAGCAGCAGTTATACCATTAGCATGTGAAACAAATTATCAAGCTTTATTCAAAAAAGTTTCATCGCCTATTGGAAACAAAAGTAAAATATTAATTTGTGGTGGAAGTACAGTAACAGGTTTATATGCAATTCAGTTAGCCAAAGCAGTTGGAGCTCATGTCACAGCAACATGTTCAAAAAGAAATTTTAGTCTGATGGAAAAACTTGGTTTGTTTTCTTCGACCTTGTATATAAATGTCCTTTTTATTTATCATAGGTTATAATATAACACAAACAAATATTAAGACAAATAACAATCAAAACCAATTACATATAATTGATTATAATAAAAAAGATTTTGGACAAGAACTGAAGGATAAATTTGTGTTTCTTTTATGATTATTATTAGTTTTTCGTTTCTGTTTATTTGTATTTAGGTCAAAATTATGATGTTGTTTATGATTGCGTTGGTGGTGAACAACAATGGACATCAGCATAACAAGTATTAAAACGTGGTGGTCAATTTATTACTATTGTGGGTGATGATAGAGAATCGGTTATTTCATTAAAATCATTAGTTTCATTTAGTTCTGGTTTGATAAATCGAAAATTTTGGTCTATCTTTGGCTCATCTTATCATAATTATATATTTCATTTTGTAAAGCATACTTTTCAAGAACTTGATGATATCAGAACAAAATATATTGAAACAGGACAAGTTAAACCAGTAATTGATACAATTTTCGATTGACGAAAAGATGATGTAGAAACTTTATATTCACTCTGTGAAAAATCAAAAAGTGGAAAAGCACAAGGAAAATTACATCTTAAAATAGCTGATGACGAATAAATATAAACCTATTTTATTTATTTCAAAGTTTTTCATAAACTGATTTTTGTTAAAACTATTTTTACATTGAATAAATATATCTTGTTGAAATATTAGGTTTCTATTTCAGAAATAATATTTTATGATCAGATATAGCGAGACGTAAAAAGTTAGGTAAATAGATGATTACGAAATTTACGAGTACTCTATCATAGATGAGTTTAGTGACATTTCTGTAAATATCACTGAGTTCGATATGTTAAAATTTCTCTTTCAATAGAGAAGGATTAGAACTGTTGCAAATTTTTAATTCTATATAAGAGATCATCAAAAATAACTCGTATATTTTCTTAAGTAAGACAAATTGTTTTTGTGATAGTAAATTATTAAGAAAAAGGCAACCTAATGAAAATAATATTGTTTATTATCGAATTCAACATCACGATGAGTTTAATGTATACGATGGTCGATCCTTGACATTATGCATATGTCAATCATTGGTTCTATCTTTGTGTTTATAAAATAATCTTATCATAGGATTAAACTTGTATGATGTGAATTAAATCACATAGTTAGTGACTCTAAAAATAGTTGTAATCGTTTTTCTTCTGCATCGAATATTCTTTTCTTCATTTATACAGTCTTCTACTTGAATAAACATTCATTGACAGATACTACGCTTGCAAACCGGTAATAATAAGGCACATATATATTGTATAATGGTTCTCTTTCTGACTCAAAAAAATCCCTATGAAAAAAATCGTTTTTTTTTTCTTTATAAATCGTTTTAGTATGCATATATGATCTTAAACTTACTAATTGTAATTTAAAAAAAAAAAATCTTTCGTCTACAAATGCATGAAATTTAAAAGTCATTAAAAAAAGCTGTCAGAAATGTTTTCTTTCGATTAATAGTTATTATTTCTTCCATCTACAATTAATTACGTCACAGAAGATTCGGAAAAGTTCTGATAGTTTTTTTCTTTCTTTTTGTTAAATTCGAGTTATCCAAACCAGATGCAAACGCCATTAGCATATCAATTATTTTTATCTCAAAATAAATCATGAAAAAAGTATTGATTAAAACGATACTTATAAAAATTAATGGGCGAAAAATATTCCTATCCATTATCAGTAATAATATGGGTCGATGCTTTATAAAAAACAGAAAAACATATAATCTTTTGTATTTAGCAAACAATGGAGAAAAAGAAAGCAATAGACTGACTGACTAGATGATTTATTTGAATAAGAAATCTTTCTTTTTCATATGTAAGAAACAAATAAAATAAAGTGATCAAAATAAGAAAATGTACGAGACATACTCTAAGTAAAAGAACAATAAAAAATACTGGCACATTCTTAGGCATGATTCAATTTGTGAGCTTAAAGCTTTCTTGCTTATTCTATAGTATATAAGAGCACGAAGAAAAAGAAAAAGAAAAAGAAAAGAATCTATCAGAAGAATAAGAAGAAAAAAAGGGAGAAAAGGAAAAGAAGAAAAAAAACGTGACATGGCAGCGCGCCGAACAGAAAAACATACATTTAATAGGAAAGCTGGTAGTAGTGTAACATACACTCAAGACATTATTAAAATATTGTAATAAAGAAACACACGAATTGAAAACAGTTAAAATTAGAAAATCGAATGTTTCACGCCGGTCTTGAAGCACTTTTTGGCCGCAATCGTGATCATCACAAAAAGCGACATTTATTTCGTCTTCGTCGTCATCGTAATAATCGTAAAGAAGAAGCAGATGAATTAGCAAAACTTTTTTCTGATAAACCCCATACAGAAAAAGAATTGATCAGTGATTCAAATTTTGGTTTTGCTGCAATGCAAGGTTGGCGTTCAACAATGGAAGATAAATATAAACATTTAATTCCATTTGATGATGCTTCATGGAAATTATGGTCATATTTTTCGATTTTCGATGGTCATAATGGTAAGAAAAGATATTATTCGAAGGCAAATATAATTTATTCATTATTAATTAAGGTATTGAAACAGCAAAAAATGCTGCTGATCATCTTGAAATTCATTTATTAGAAATACTTAATAAAATGCTTGTTCAACAAAAAGATGATAAAATAAATCCTGGTGAACCTGTTCGTTCATCTCAATTAGATATTCCAACATTATGTGCTGCTATTAAACAGGCTTATTTTGAATTAGATAAACATTTAAAAAGTATGGTTAAAGATGATAGTGGTTGTGTTTGTGTAAGTTTTAGTGTTTTTTTTCTTCAAAACAAAATTTTTTTTTCGTTTGATTTTATTTAAAATATTTAGATAACATGTCTTATTGGTCCCGAACAAATTTATTTAATCAATGTTGGTGATTCTCGTGCTATAATTTTTTCAAATGATGGACATATTTTAGCACATACTGAAGGTAATTCTTTTATTCAATTCTTTTTGTCATCGTGTATTTTCTTTTGTTTATTGAATATATATTTAGATCATAAACCAGATGATCCTGCTGAACAAGATCGTATTCATGAAGCTGGAGGAAAAATCTCTAAATCATTTGCTGGTGATGTTTTACGTGTAGAAAATCAATTAGCCATGACACGTGTATTAGGAGATTTTGGAATGGATAAACATATTGTTCCGCCTATGGCAGATATTGTTGACTATCCCCGAGATTCATCGGCAGCATATCTTGTTCTTGCATGTGATGGAATTTGGGATGTGATGACAAATGAAGATGTAGCTTCGTTTATTATTGATCGTGTAGCAACAACAAAGTTAGAAAATATTGCAGCACAATTATTAGATGAATGCCTTCGTCGAGATAGTACTGACAATATGAGTATTTATATTGTAAAACTTTGAATTACTATTGTATATAAAAATAAGAATAAAACGAATTATTTTGTCATGTAATAAGTGTTTTAAATAATAGTACAAGTAATAATCTCTATTATATGTTACATGATAACTTTTCTATTTGTCTCACATTTATACAAATGAGTGTAAGTAATGAATAAAAGATGAATTATTTTTTAATATGATTATATTTGTCATTTGTCGCATTTGTTCTCAAGATAATTGAATTAATGCTTTAGATTCTTTTTTGAAAGTAGCTAATTTGAAAGATTTGTGAAGAAGAAAAAAGAAAGAATCTCGCCATATTTTTACTTTGTAACTTGTTATGACATCGTATTTTAAGGTGAAATAAGGCGTGCATATCTTCTTTTTTTGTTGTTGTTGTGTTGAATTCAACAACGCTATCTTTTATTGTCGTTCTTTCTTGTTTGCTTGTGTGTTAAATATTACTGTCACAATTAAATTCATACCATGCGTTTCGAGCAAAATCCACGTAGAAGTACTTCTGCTCTATTGTATGACGACAATGAAAAGATACTGGATGCAATGACAGATCAACAACCACTATTAGGTTATACAGATATTGATGATGTTGGCATGCGTCAATCATGGTACCGTCGAATTTATGCGAGATATGGTTTGTTTAGATATATCTATTAATGAAATATTGGAAAACATGTTGTATAATTTCTAGTTGTGGCTATATGGGTCTTTTTAGGTTTTATTTGTTTATATATGCTTCGTGTTAATTTATCAGTAGCTATTGTTGCTATGACTGTACCACAAAGTCTTAAAAATGAATCTGTAGAAGCATGTCCATCGAATACAAATGATTCAAGTGATACTCCAACTAAGGTTCCTTAACAAATATTTTCTTTTATTCGTATGATGATATTTGAAGATTCATGTTTTATTTATAGCATGACAAATTTGATTGGAATCCTCGTACTCAAGGTTTTGTACTTGGAGCTTTTTTCTATGGTTATACTCTTTCACAATTTATTGGCGGTAAAGATAGAATAGAATATGAATGAAATCATGTTCATTATTTCTTTCAATATATATATATATAGGAATATTGGCTGAACGATTTGGTGCTAAATGGATTTTTGGTTGTTCTCTTTTAATAGCCGGTATTCTTACTCTATTTACACCGATTGCAGCTCAAACTCATGTTGGTCTTCTCATTGCTATTCGAATTCTCACTGGTATTTTCGAAGTAGAAAAATCTGTATTTCATATCAAGAAATGCATATTTAATGTATATATATATATAGGGTCCGGCATTTCCAAGTGTAGGTGCATTATGGGGACAATGGGTACCACCTTTAGAAAGAAGCATTATTCCACCGATTGCACATGCTGGTATGCTTCGTTTAAATAAAATATTCAATACATTTTTGTACTTTTTACTTTTTTTCACAGGAAAAGAAGTAGGTGTCATAATTACAACTCCATTAGCAGGTCTTCTATGTGCATCGAATTTTCTGGGTGGTTGGCCATCAGCGTTTTACCTTTTTGGTAAGATTAGTAACACTTTATTTATCTATCATAAACTGTATTTTTCATTTGTACAGGTTTTATTACTTGTATATGGTTTGTATTCTGGTGTTTTTTTTCTTATAATAGTCCCTTAGATCATCCACGATGTTCAGAAAAAGAACGAAGGTATTTGATGATCTCTCTTCCAAAACCAAAAAAGGTTTGTTTTTGTTTTAGTTAACATTTTTTTTTCTTTATCGTTTCATAGATTTTTTAGTTAAAAACACCATGGCGATCAATAGCATGTTCACTTCCATTTTGGTCAATTGCTATTGTGTCCAGTTGTATTCAATTTG